GTTAAAAACATCAGATACATCAAACATTTTCTTGCATTCGTTGTAACAAACTAACCCGTGTGATGAACTTTTGCTTTCAGACTATTTTCGTTGGCTATGGGCCGACGTTTAAGTTCAAGACGAAAGTTCCAGCCTTTGAAAACATCGAGCTTTATAACGTAATGTGTGGTGAGAATTCACTTTTTTTCCTTCTGCATTTCTGTGTTCAGGTGTCTCGTGTGTTTTGATATCTGATATTTTTCCACAATAAGAATGCGTTAGCTGATGTTTACGTGAGTGTGACGTCTTCAGTCTGATTTCAGTCACATTTGTCCCATTCTTAGATCTTCTAGGTTTGAAACCGGCCCCTAATAATGGAACTCACGGCAGTCTGAACCACCTGCTACGAACCCCCCCGTACAGACCCACCATGCCAGAGGAGGTGTCCAGGCCAACAGCGTCTGGTGTTGTACCTGCAGGAACAGACAGCTTGGGGTGCAGCTGCGACGAAAAGGTCAGCCACGATGACTCAGACCTGAGCCCAACTTCCTGTCAGTCCCTAAAGGGAATTCTGTTCTTCTATTTTTCTAAACCCCTTATATTCTATTTTTTTGTCTTTTTTTTAATTTCTCAACTCAATCATATGTTCAGCAGATGCAGCAACCTTCTTGGCTCTACATCCATATTGTCACACTAGCTTCTGTTGCTCAATTTGGTGCTTGTATGAATTGCAGTCTCAGTTTCTGAGACTCACAGGAGTAGCACCCCACAGTCTGGGCATGCTCCTCTGTCATCAGCACGCCATGTTCACTAAAGATGGTTGTCCAGGAAAATCCCATGAGATCAGCAGTTTTTGAAGTGACCTCAGCGCCTCTTTTTAAAACTCCCTCTTCTTTACTTTTGGCCTAAAAGAGTTGACTCTAAAATTGTTTCCATAGGCCAAATTAGACCCTCACAAAGTATGACTAACCTGCATGTATGACTGGCCAGATGCCAAACATTCGCTTGACTTTTAAATCCCACAAAAGGATCCATCTGGTCAACTTATTTACTTAATTAATTTTTATTTATAAGGTGCCATATGACAGCAGCAGTCCCCAAGGTGCTTTATATTTTAGGCTAAAAACCCTACTATAAACCTTTCTATCCAAAAGTAGTGTCAGTGATAGGGTTTGGAGAGGGTGTGGGTTTGTGGGGGGACCAGACGCATATTTTTTGGGACTGTGTTTACATACAACAGTACTGGATGGATGTCAAGAACATTATACATAACATATTGTCAGTCAACCTCCCAATGGATCCTCTGATCTTTTTGTTGGATATCTTTCCTGATGGTTTCTCCTATGAGCAGCACTTTCTCCACATCTCCTCCTCATGACTGCAAGAAAAATGATAACAATTCACTGGCTCAAACCAGAAACACCCACAGTTGCCCAGTGGCTTCTGAAAACTAGACATGTCTATACAATGGAACGGATAACAGCTGAACTACAACTAAAAGTGCCAACCTTTGAGAAAAAATGGAGACTAATTATAAAATATCTTGAAAGGACACTCAAGCCTTAACATTGTTACATCTGTGCTTAGGTATTGGTATGTATGTATATGTATATATGTTTTTTCTTTTAAATTAAGTTTTTGAATAACCCCCACCATTATATGCAGCAGATTTGGTCTCAGGTCATGTTGTTGATGTGAATTGCCTTGTTATTTTTGGCAATAAAAGTTTAAAAAACAAACAAACCCTACCATAATACAGAGAAGCCCCACACAACCAGAAGACGCCCTATGAGCAAGCTCTTTGGCAACAGTGGGAAGGAAAAACTCCCTTTTAACAGGAAGAAACCTCCAGCAGAACCTCAGGGAGGGGCGGGGCCATCTGCTGTGATTGGTTGGGGGTGAGAGGAGGGAGACAGCACAGAAGATACACCATGAAAGAGAGATCAGCATTAACTCATGATTAAACGTGTGCTGTATAAACACACACACAGAGAAAAGAACAGCAAACATCCAGTGCAACTCATAAATGAACATTTGCAGCTAGAACAAGGTGCTGTGAGAGATTACAGAGCCTGAAAGGGCCCTGACATCATGGAAGTGAGCCTGCGATGTCACGAGACAACAGACTGAATCCAGAGAAGAACAAGTTCTTTAGGGTTCTGAACCATCCTCCTGACAGCTACCCTGAAAAACTAGACGTTATTTCCCGTGCTAATAACAGGATCATCACTTGAATCTAAATGCAGCCAGCATTTAAAGTGGGATGACAAATATAAATTCTGTGTTCACACAGACACTGTCCACACTGCAGTATATCCACAGCAACATAACAAAGACCCTACGGGGTCGACCTGGGCCGGAGCAAACCGGACCCACTGAGGCCACGAGCCGCAGGAGGCAAGGAGGAGCTTTTTGACTGCCCAAGGTCAATCAGGAAATATCAGGACACCAGAGTTCAGGCATATTTAGTAATACGGCTTTGTTCTGGCACCTCTCCCTCCATGTACATACATGAAATCTAGAGGAAGGAAGAGCAGCAACAAGAGCTGCTCACAGAAGAAAGCAGGCATCGGTGCCCAGAGATACGAAGCTCATGAAATCGAATAAAGCGTGAAAGGAGGTGCAGGGATGCAGGGAGGCTGCAAGAAGATGGTAACTGTAGGCTGAAGCTCTCAGCTGAGACATCACGTCTTTGTGGTCTGACTGAACTAATGAAGGATTTTGTTCAAAACTGAGTCAAAAAAGTAAAAGTCTGATTTTTTTATGAGTTCTTTAAGGAATGCAAGAAAGTTTTTATCAAATATATATTCAAGTCAGTAACACTTTTTTTGGCCCATCGGAGGTGTCAGCACAGATGCTCTTTATACGAAACACATTAGAACTACAAGAACTACAACCCTTTAACATTGGAGGTGACGTAGAGCCCAGTTTATCTTTACTGGTTGACCAACATATTTCACTCACTGGCCCCACGTCCTTATTTGAGGTTTGACA